GTGCTGGGCCCTGCGCCCCGCCGCGGCCTCCGCGCCCCCCAACCTCCTCCTCCTCCTCATGGACGACGTGAGTGGGGCCGGGGAGGGGGCCCCGCGGGGTGGGACACTTGTCACGGGGGGACTGGGCCCGTGTCACTGCGAGGAAGTCACTTGGGGGGGGTGGTGACACTGAGAGGTCCCTGTTTGTCACTAAGAAGGGGGCTGGGTGCCGGCCCCCACAGGGGGACTTGGGTTCATGGGAAGGGCTGAGGGACATGGGGGCCTTGGCTTGTTGTCGGGGTGAGAGCACGGCGGCCGTGGGGAGGGCTGATGGAGAGGCTGCTGTGGTGGCCCACTGGCCCAGGCCCTGGGTGCTCGGCAGGGTACGGCTTGAACGCTGGCGCCTTGTGAGTGGAGCCTCTGGCAGAAACGTTCTGCTGGTGTCTGGGAAGTTTGCTCGTGGTGGAGGTGCTGTGGTGGCGGTCCCGAGCTCGTGGGAGCATTGTGGTGCGTGGGCTGGGTCCAGAGCTGTACCTGTGCTGGGGGAGAGGCCTTGAAATAATTTAAAGTTTCGTCAAGTTTTCTCCCTGTGAGCATCGTCCTGCAAATTACACTTTCTGGACATCTTCCTAAGTGCTTATCAAGGGCCGGTTTTGGGCCTGGCAAGACTTGTGTTTTTGAGAGTACGGCTTGAGCATTTATTTGCTTTTTTGTGCTGCTTAGAGCTCTGTCACACTGCCTCGAGCTCTCCCTGGTGTGCACAATCCCCCGTGGGTCACAGACCCAGGTTCACACATCATCCTTTCCAGGTGGTGTGGCCTCCGCATCCAGCTGTGTGCTACATCTCTTTCCGTTGTTGTAGCACATGGACAGGGTCAGTGCCGTGATTCATGGTCAGAGGTCTTCAGCCCAGTGACTCAGGCGCAGCTCATGGCTTGATGCGGTGATCTGGGAAACTTGGAAATAAGCAGGAATATCTGAATAAGTTTGTAAGTACTTACTCTGAAAGCCAACATGCTCAGTTGCTGTCTTTCTCGAGTCTTTTCTGGATTTTGTTTAAAAAGTGGTGAAGAAAGGAAAGGAAGGCCCAGGCCTGGTGTATCCCTGCCCTCCTCCTTCAGGGCAGAGCTGCTTTAGGTGACCTGTGCTAGAGACACTGCACACAAACCTCTCCTTATTCCTCCTGTGTGGATGTCCTGCTGAAAACAAAGGAGACTTCTTGGATCTATAAAGTCAAGCCCATACTCAAGCCTTTTGGAACTGGTGCTTACCTACATACTTTATCTTGAAGTGTAATCCCCTTATCTATCAGTCCATTCTTAATGACTGAGCAATTAACTCCACAGTCTGTGACAAAGGATTCCTGTGGCTGGTAAATGTTGAAAACCAGGGTGTCTTGGTGATCTTCGAACCCTGACAGAATCATTCTGAAGTTAAGGCTTGGTTTTGCAGCTTCCAAAAATAACTGTGGGAGTATCTTCTGGTACCAGCAATGGATGTAGTTGTAGCAGCGCTTGATAAGGTGCATCAACAAGCATGGACAAGGAAAAAACTCCAGTACATTTCAGGAAATGTTTTAGAAACCCAAACTTGCCTCCTGAAAAACCATAGAAGAAAACTAATTCTGCCAATTTTTGCTCTCTGAACTAGGGGTAAAAAAAAAAAAAAGGCAAGAAATCATTAAAGAGCAGAAATAATCACAGATTTGTTTCCAACTAAATGTCTTTTCGCTTTTGCACCCTGTGGTGGTCTTAGCCACACGGGCAAGGAAATGTATTCATTTCCAACACATTCAAGTTGCTGCCATTTTCCTGGTTTGCTTCTCTTCCAATATTTTCGCGTCCTCTTTCGGGTGTGTTTGTAGTAGAAATGCGTTGTGTGCTGTTTTAAGCTAATGAGGGTGGGTATGTGACTCCAAGGGTGGGCAAGCTCTTATCGCCTGTTTGGCTCCGTTCTGCCGATTCAACCTGACTCTTGTTTTCATAGTGGTTCTACACTCCTGTACAAGATAATTAACTTGTAAGCCTGTTTGTTTTTTTTTTTTTTCCGGCCAGTTGAGCCGCCGGCAGTCTATCTCAATTTTCCATTCAGGAATATTTCCCCCCAAGCTGGCATTTCTAATTTTCAAGATGAAAGCTCCTTGGGACAGTGATTATCCCACTCTAGAAGTGTTGGTACAGCATGAGGCATGATGAGGCACAGATCCTGACTGGAGCTTCTGCAAACTGTTTATTTATTTAATATGCTCTTCATTAAAAATACATCTCCGTGGTCTTTTTCTTTTGGTCCTTCGGTAACTACTGCAACTCTGTCGCCGTGTGTGAATTAGAGCAACTTGATACTCCTTTTTTTTTTTTTTTTTTTTTTTTTTTCCCCGTTTTCTTTCCCCTCCTTCCTTGATAAAGATACTGAAGAAACAAGAACTCAGGGGTGATCCCGCTGAATCCATTTTCATTCCCCATCCTAGTGTGAGGTGGTACCATTTAATTGCTCCTCGTTCAAACCTCAACAGCCGGCTCTGCAGCTCTCCAACAGTTTTCTTTTCCAAACTGCACCGCTGCAGTGTAAATGTTAGACTCTCAAATGGGACCAGACAGATGGTTTTCTAAAGATCTCAATACATTACGCCCTCCGTTATCAGTTGCTCACCTGATACGCATCTGTATTAAAGATAGCTATTTCCCTTTTTAAAGCATAACATAATCTCTAGCAACCATGGTGCCTAATTGCTCATTAAGTTGTTGCCTTCTAGAACCTTCTGTTTTAAGTCACTTACTTTTATTTGTATTATTAGCAGTAATAGTTTTCAGCAATGAACGCAGACAACGTGATGGTAATTTTACGGTTCTCCTGGCTGTGTGACCCCTCTGAATTAGGAGGAAGACGCAGGGTGAAACCACTGTCTTGCAAATAAGCAGAGTGACATATGATGCCTCTGGCAGGTTTCCTCTCCAGAGCTTGCATTTAAACACTTTCTCTCTTTTCCTGCAGCACTGCTTTTGGGTTTAGACCTTTTCCTTGCATTTCTAGTTACGGATGGATAGATATATAAATGGATGGATGGATGCAGCAGGCTGAGATGGAGTCTTGGGGTTAATGGTCCAACACAAAGAAATGTACCTTCACAGGGTTGGGGAAGATAATTTTTTTTCACGTTTGTTTTGTACTCCCTAAGCAGGGAGATGAGCACTATAAAGATTTAGGAATGCAGGGATACAATAAAAGCGTTATGTGGGCCCAGAAGCATTGTCATTGTGGAAGAGTAAAAGTACTTTTACGTCTTTCGGTGTGTTCTTTTTACAGATGGGTTGGGGTGATTTGGGAGCTTTCGGAGAGCCTTCTAAGGAAACTCCTAACTTAGACCAGATGGCTTCAGAAGGGATGCTTTTCCTGGATTTTTATACTGCCAACCCCCTCTGTTCTCCGTGTAAGTAAACTTGAGTTTTAAACTAGCATATAAGCATGCCACCTTCTGAGCAGAGCGGGATGTTTGCCAGCATCTGACATGAACTAGCAACCAAACCAGTGATTACCCTCAGGGCAGAGTTTGGATTTGGTGCTTTGATCTTGCTTTTTGCTCCCTTTTTATTTATGTTTTGATTGGAAAACCTACAATCTTTAGTTCATACAAAGCACTGTTTTAGCGAGCAAATCCGTCCAGCTAAAGGATTTTTTTACAACATTACAGTTTAGTACTCTAGCCTCGTTGCATTTTTTCAGCTTTCTCAGTTTGAGATAAACAGACAAAGCAGTATCTAAAATGTTGCTGAACACAGTTTGTATGTAGTTTTGTCTGATTCCATTGGCTTTGGTGAGACTTTCATGTAGGGGGTGGCAGGCTATGTCCTGGGTTTGACCCTGCTGGCTTGCAAGATTCTTGGGGAACAGACAAGAGATAAAAGAAACGTTTGGATCTGGGAGATGCAGATATTTTTATCCTTACTGGTTTTTTTTCTTTGGGGTGGGTTGTTTTTTTCATTTGTTTTTAACTCAAACCTGATTGGCAGCCAAGAACTGAAACAAAAATGAGGAGCGGGGGCTTTCTAGGTGGCCTTTCATTTAGGCTATCATTTGGCGGTGTGCTGGGGACATCCTTGCTCAGAAAAGGCCTTTAAAATATGCTGAAGTCCTGCTAAATCCAGTGGTGGTACTGCATAAACATATGCTTAAAGCTGAACATCTGTTTAAACGTTTCCTGCAGTCAGGACTTGACTTTTATTGTCAAAGCTGGACAGCTCTTTCTTCACTGTTACATGACTTCTGTTCAGGCAAGCTTGAAAACTCAGCCTTAAGCGTGCAATCAGTTTGTGTTAGGATTTCCTCTTACATAGATACGTCAGGTATTCCTTTTAGAATTACTGAGATAGGAGGGCTGCTCGCTTGACGACTGAAATTACTCTTCAGCAGTGGGTCATTTAATAGAGGGGCCAAATTTCAGTCGGGTTTGTCTTGGAATAACTCAGATGGTGTCGTATCAGAACCTTGCTGTCTCCGTGGCTCGCTGGGGAGGGGAGGTGCTGCGTGCTCTGATGGGAATGATCTTAGTAGCTGACTGTGGCAAAAGGGCACTGCCATGCTTCACTCAGGGCACTGTCCTCAGCCTTAATATAATAATATTAATATTAAGCAGAGAACGCTTGTAAAATAAAATGTTTTTTGTTCTTTGCAGCAAGGGCAGCGCTGTTGACAGGCCGTCTCCCAGTCAGGAATGGCTTTTACACCACGAATGCACATGCCAGAAATGGTACGGGCTTCATTCCTGATTTGCTTTCCTCTCTTGATTTCCCTCTGTGCTTCATAGGAAGTTTTGCTTTGAATAAATTCTTGGCTCTGTGATCTTCCAGAGTGGCACAAAAAGATTACCGTGTTAACTGCTGGTAATAAGCGTGAAATTTATTGCTTCCTCCTCATCAAGCAGACAACCTCCTCAAATTAAGGGACCTAAACAAGGCTGGTTGATCCGTTTGCTTCTGCAGGCTGAGAGGTGTTTCCTCTGGGCAGTGTAATTGGTGTCTGGTGAAAGAAAGTCACGTGGGCTGTATGTTAACACCCAGAGTAAGGAACAAGCTGCTTAGGGTTTTATTCAGCAACCAGTTCTCTAACCGTTTCAGTTTCATAGCACCATTGTGCCCAGGGTGCTTCCAGGGAAGATTACCAGTTCATAACTGGGTTGGTTTTGGTTCCTCTCATTGTTTCCAGTGTGACAGATGCCACGTGTGTGGGCATGCTTGGGCGAGAATCAGCAGCTATGTACTGGTTCACACTGCGGATCAGCGAGCGTGCTTGGCTATCCCCATCCTAACCAGAGTCACACCTTAGATTCTCAAGGGCCAGAGAACTGTGAGCTGTGAGAGACATATCATTTCTTTCAGCTCTTGCAGTCTGAGCAAGTTTATCGATCGTTTGATTTAAGGGAAAAAAAGTGCCTTCATTTTAAGAAATAGAAAGCAAATTCGCAAGAGTAAAGACAACTCCAATGCACACCTAAAGCACTTGCTTTCTTCCTGACCCCCCCTTTCAAGGGTCTCACCTTCATTCCGTGATGGCAGCCCCCTTTATTACTGGCCTTGGTGTGCAAGTGTGTGGAGTTCTCCCTTTGATCTCTCTGAATCAGTTTGTTCTCTTCATCTCATGCCCTGGGAGGACTTCCAAGGACTGATATTGCTGGGGCTTTTTTTGTTTGTTTGTTTTATGCAGCATACACGCCACAGGATATAGTAGGAGGAATCCCAGATTCTGAGTTACTGCTTCCAGAGTTGCTGAAGAAAGCTGGCTACGTCAATAAGATCATTGGCAAATGGTAAACTCGTTTTAAAATCTCTTGCTTTGAGATTTCAGTAAGCGTGTGTTTGTTTTGTGAAGGAGCAGAACAACCAGAACTGTAGGAAAAAAACCTCTTTTGAAGCTCAGATGTCCAACTTTTGAAATTTATGGTGGATCTCCCCCCGCCCCTGCTGGGATCAATTTCTGAATCGAGTATTACCATTACAAGTACATATATACAGCTTCACAGAAGGAGTTGAAGGGGTTTTCATATGTGTGTGTATATATATATATATATTTATAAACCCTTCAACTCTTTGTGCTTTCATCCATGTATCACACTACTTAGTTTAATCAAAAAATGCCAAGTTGGAACTTGCCTTGAGCACCAACGTGCTTTTTATCTTTGGCCCCTGCTGTATGTTGGGGTTTTTTGTTAATAGAGTAGACTAAATTGTGAAAGCTGCTTTTTGGGGAGGTGGAAGTGGGTGGTATAGAAATAGAGATGCAGACATCTCCAGGGCTACGCTGAAGGTTGTTCATCAAGTGTAGAAGGTCGGGGTAGATAAGGGTAGCTTGATGGGGATAGTTGATACCAGTCGTTTTAAAAGACTGAGAGGGGTGATCCAGTACTCTGTGAATATTATCCTTTGACTTTATGGACTTTCATGGAAATAGAGCATAATCTTTGTAGAGGACACAGAAGAACTTCTAAAACCCAATTTTTTGTGATGTCTGCGAAGAATCGGAAGGGAAAAACCTGAAAGATACTCAGATCAAACAAGCACGATGGAACTACCACTGTAATAGTTGGAACTTGGTGCATTTGTAACATTTGAATTTCAAATGGGCTTGTGGGCTGTAGTGGAATCCCACGGGGCCTGGGGATCTCTGAAGAGTCAAGTCACGGTTTGTAACAGCGCTGTAATAAATAAATGCATAAACAGCACCTTCAAAACTGCATGGACACCAGAGGAGGGCTGCTTGGTTAACAGAGTCATGGCTAATGAAGAGACTTCGGACAGGAGTATTATCAGGGGGATACTGTCCAGGAAAATAATGGGATATAGTTTATTTAACAGTTTCGTTAACAAGATAGAGAAGAGTGAGTTTGGATTGTGGTCGGATTCACCGCTGCTGCTGAAACGGGAAGGAAGGCAAACTAACCTAAGACAGTGAATTATTTATTACCACAAATCCAACCAGCAGAGTGCCTGTGAAGAATCAGATCAGTGGGCTGAATGCAATAAGATGCAGTTCAGTGCTAATAAATGTAAATTCATACACCCAGGGAAAAGAAATAAACAACGCAAATACAGATTGGTTCCAGGCAGTTATTTGGAAAACAGCAAATCTGGAAGGACCTGCAGCTGTTAGCAAGGAGGAAACTAAATCTGAGCGTGCAGCGCGGTGTCGTCGTGCGCCCAAGAACTGTTACCCCAGACAGGACGAGGGACTGGTACTGTACAGCAGCAGTCTCTGTCGTTTGTGCATGCCACCTGCTCCCTAGAAAGGTGTAAAGAAATGCAAAGTGCAGGAGTTAAATTGGAGCCTCATCCTAGCCATGTGTAGAATTTTAGGGCTTGGAAAGATTTTTTTTAAGTGTTCCAGCAGAAGATTTTTATATCCTTTGAGCATCCCTTCTAAAAACTTCTCAGCGTGTCCTGTGACAGTAAGTTCCACAGTTTAATTGTGTGTTTGCGAGTCAAGTATTTTCCATGACCACTTCAGAATTTGTTGCATTTCATTAAATATCTCTATTTTTTTTGTGTTACGAGAAGGTGAGAATAATCTGCATCTCAGTAATTATTTGATACCTTTTTTCAAGTCTCTTCCTCTCTAAGTTCTCTTAGGACTTTCTTAGAATAAAATAGTTTTTCCACGTTCCCTGTTGTAGAAACATCCAGCAATCACTTTGTATTATCCTGTATATAAATGAGGAGAAGGTAGAATCCTGCAGGTCAGACGTTGCAGTTTTAGTTACATCACAGAGTTATGATCGTAGCTGGAATGATGATTATTTTCTGTCATAACTCATTTTGGAATAGCTCAGAATAACACCATGGATTGTTTTACTTCAGGTAATGCATTTTATGCCCCTTATATTCAGAAAGTGTGCAGGGGGTGATGGCACAAAATGGACAGGTTGCAGATGCAGGCTTGTAAGTGGAAGCTGGAATGATTAAATAAACATTTAGCTGCAAAGGTCTCCTTTAGGGACTGGCAGAGGATGGGCATTCTGTATCTTCAAGATAGTATAAATGAGTAAAGTGTAGAATTTTCAGTACAGAAGTTGGAGATGAGAGAGGAGCTTCATCTTGAAGTTAAGGATGGAGAATTTTCAAGCTGCATAGTAGAATGGAGCTGTCATCAGCAGTAGCTAAACGTGTTTTATGTTCACATGTGCACATAAAGAACTCATTCTCATTTACATTCAGGTCTCTCGTAACATTTTGGCAGCATGAATACTCCATAAAGGGAATGTAGATATAATGGTACATTTCATGAGCTTTACCTTGTGTTTTTACAGCTTAGTGGTATAAAAGTGACTTGTCGTAGATCAGAATCCTTTAGTAAAACATTATGTGCGCCTTTGCAGTAGCTTTGGGCAGTGTAGTCCATCGGTACAGATCATCGAGGCAGCATGAGAAGACACCAGGAGAAGGAAATAATAGAAAACAAAGGTTGGACAGCGGACTAAAATGAGAGAAATGTCGGCACTGGATTGAGACCGCATGGATGCGTTTGCAACAAGTATGAGAAAGATCAAGACGATGCTCTGCAGTCATTTATTTGATTAAAATGCTTGAAGTTTTTCTTCTTAGGCAAAGATTGTTTTCTTGCATGCCATTCTGATGAGATTATTCTTTGCTTCTTTTCAGTAGAATTTTAACTCATCTGTTTTTTTTTCTCCTAGGCATCTGGGTCACCGGCCCCAGTTCCACCCCCTGAAGCACGGGTTTGATGAATGGTTTGGATCCCCAAACTGCCATTTTGGACCTTTTGATAACAGAGCGCTCCCCAATATCCCTGTGTATAGGGACTGGGAAATGATTGGCAGGTAATTCAGCTACTTGCCTGTTAATGTTATTTTCTTTGCTTTCCCTGCTGACATTACAGTGCTGGAAGATAAGTGCTGGCATAGCAAACCCATTTCAGTGAAAAGGGATTGGTGAAAACAGCAGCTGCTTCAGAATCAGAGTTACAGACTCAGTTGGACGGGCAGTGATCTACAGGTACCTCACCCTGTGCAGAGGACTTCCATAGCCTGTCGAGCACTGAGAATATCCTGCCTCATGTGGTCTGGGGTGCTTCCTACTGAGTGCCCTGAATGTCCTGCAGCTCGGCAGTGAGCCAGTGCAGAAGAGATGCTTGTAAAAGGTCGTGAAAGAGGTGAACGGCCCTTCTGGGTCCATTTAATCCCTTATACTTTGCCATGACCACTGGTAGTGAAGGCTTATAGAAAGGGTATAAGAAAAGGGATATGTGGAATGGTCCTTGTACGGTTGTCCACCTTCCTAAACTGAAGGTTGCGAGCAGATCATTAACAGACAGTGACTTCTATGAACTAGTCTTGTCTCTTTTCGAAACCTGTTTGTATTTCTGGACCTGTGCCGGGATCTCATCTCTTGCTTTGCCTTTGTGCTTTTGAACAGGACTTTCCCCCTACTAGTCTGGGGACGGCCAATATCCAGCCTTACAAGGCCTGGGTGGTGGTTTCTGTTGGAACTAAGACAGACTGAAGGGAAAGCCTTGTGGGAAAACACACAAGGTGGGCAGAAACAGGAAGGTAGAGGTTAACCACCAAGAGGTATGGGAGTTTCTCATCTAGGAGAGGAAGCAAGGCGTGTCCTTCCTGGAGGAAGAGGAGGCTTTGAAGACAAAATGCTGGCAGCAAAAGGTCCTCAAGAACTTGCCTGGGCAATCAGTTGTGATTGCAGCCCTCTGACTTTTCCAGTTAAAGCTGAGACAATACACACCTGCTTCGATGGTATTGACGCCCCTCAGAGACTTGGCGTGGTAGTCAACTACTAAACTTTATTCGGAACTCCTAAACCACTTTTTGTAGGAATCCTGGCTTCCTCAGCTCTACCTTTCCATCTAAATTTCAACTTGAAGCTCGTTAAATATGAAGCTAGGTGTTTGATTCTGAGGATTAATAAAGGTCCGATGGTCTAGGGAAGCGGCTGCTCTAGAGTGCCTCCTCCCAGAGGTGTTTGCTTATCCCGTTGCACCCTGAAGGCTTCCTGTGATGATTTCATTCCTCTACTTCTCTTGGAAGCTGGTTCCATTCTGTACTGAAAGACCTTTTTATTCCTTCTCTTCCTGTTTGTAATAACCTTTTGTCTGTTTGTGCAGCACCATTCTGTGCTCCGAGTCTGCAGTCTGTGACATTCTCGTCCGTTCATTTTGAGGCTGCTGTCATCTTATTTCACTTGCTGTTATTCTCCCGAGGACTGCCCCTTGCCCTTTGCTTAATTGGTGTCTAAAGATCCTTCTCACGTAAAGTTTCCAAGCAGCCCAAGTTCTGATTCCAGGGTCTCACTGGAAGTTGTTGTGTACTTCTGAAAATTTTACTCGCTTTTCAAACAGCTCCTTACTGCAGGAATAGCAGCATGAGATCTTGAAGCATACTACCCCTATTCTAATAACAGTAAAAGGTCGGTGGCTCAAGATTGTCCAAAATCTGTAGTCCTCAATTTGGATCTAGCTGCTTCACCGCTTTCTCTCGTTAGAAAAATATACGGTGACATTCTTTTTAATATCTGAAGACAGTTTGCTGAGTAGCATCTCTGGTCTGATTGTTGTCTGCTTACCCAGTAGGTAAAGGGAGGGAGGAAGCCTCTTTATCTTGTATATTCCTTAGGATTGATTTTTTTTTTTTTCCCTCTCTGATTCATTTTAACCTAAGATATTATGAAGATTTCAAAATTGATCTGAAGACGGGTGAAGCCAACTTGACTCAGATCTACCTGCAGGTACTGTCCATCTTAATACTGATTTCTAAGCTGCAGTGACTTTATGCTGCTTTTTTTGGAGAGATTTAGATGGCAGAGGATGATTCCGTTAAATTCATTTTTATTGTTGTTTACAGGAAGCTCTCGATTTTATTAGCAAGCAGCAGGCCAGCCAGCAGCCATTCTTTTTATACTGGGCAGTTGATGCTACCCACGCTCCTGTTTATGCCTCCAAACAGTTCCTGGGCACTAGTCAGAGAGGACTGTAAGTCTTGTTTTTGTGAGTGTTGGTTTTGTTGGGGTTTTTTTTTGATTAATACCTCATGCTGCAGAAACAGAAAACCTAAGCAGTGTTTATTAGAACCAAGTATAGAGATCATTTCTCAAAAGCGTATGCGTGTGCTGAAATACATTAGTTTGTGCAGACTTTGCTTGGATTGTTCTTTAATAATTTTACTATAATCCGAAATGAAGATCATGTGACTGAAATGGGGGAGGAGGGGGGAGTCTAAGCTCCTTTGCCAGTTGTGTGAGTAATGAAGTGCTGTATATGGCACAGATGATTTTTTGGAAGGCTTTTGTATGATTAGTGCCTGTTTTAAAAGCCTATAAATCAGACCAGCAAGTAGAAAAGCACGCATGAAAAACACAATTTACAGGAGGCAAAGAGCTCTGTAGATATTGTGAGCCCTGCTTCTGAGAGTGCAGTTTCAAACCAGCGTCCATAAGCAAAACCGTGTTATTAGCTTCAAGTCTATGGCGAAGTGGCTTTGCCTATATTTGAGAACTTTATAGCTAAATTTATATCAGTTGCTGGTTTCTGTCCAAGAGTGGCCGACATCTGAACAAATTCTGACTCTTAATACCCAAGAGGTTGCTCTCTCCAGGTATTTGCAGTGACAGTGGAAAACTTTATTACATTACGTGATGCATAAGAGAAGCATTTCTGCAGCGTTGGGTATAAATTACCCCCACTGAAAACGTTGTGGCTGATGGCAACGTGTCACCCTGTGTGACACTTTCCCTCTTCTGCTGCCTTTAAGTTTGCATCTGCTTTTGCCTCAGGTATGGGGACGCTGTACGAGAAATTGATGATAGCATTGGAAAAATCCTAAAACATCTTCAGAAGCTGGGCATCAGTGAGAACACTTTTGTGTTTTTCACCTCTGATAATGGGGCTGCTCTCATTTCAGCTCCTAAACAAGGTGAGCCTCAGATGAACAAACCGGGGCTGGGGTTGTGAAATCAAGCCTTCAATCTCTGTGTCTGGCGGGGAAGGAGACCTGTGCCTGGGGTTTTGTGTTATGCACTTAGGAGAAGCCTCAAAATGCAGAGCATTTATGTGTAGAGTTAGCTTATGTTTGTTATTCCTGGTCGCTGCTGGAGGAGGCATCCTAGGCTAAATGGACCCTCAGCCTGACCCAGTGTGCCTGTTCACCTGTGTTCATTTCCACTGTCAGAGGTGAATATTTTGTGATTTATTTAGGACCAGGCACAATAACTTAGCAGAGTGTTTACTCTCCATCTGCCAAATGCATATTTGAGCTGAGTAATTACAGAGAGTTCAAGAGTCCCTCCTCCTTTAGCTCTCATGAACAATATAAAGAAGAAAAAGTATCTTTGTTACTTCACGAGTTTTCTTTTGTTTAGATTGTTTCTCTCGGAGTCATTGCAAATTGATTTTATAACCCACTCTTGTATTTGGAGGCAGGCTGTCTCGTGGTTATTGGACCACAGAGCAGGGAGTATCCCGAGTTCTGATTTCAGCTCAACCACTGTGTTTGACTTCGGGTGACCTGGAATCAGTCGCGAGACCTCCTTGTTTGTTCCTCGGCAAGTTTAGCTACAAGGCTGGGTTTAAAATCCCAGACATTCCTGCAAAGCACTTGCTATCTCTGAGAGTGAACGTTCAGAGAATGCACTCTTGTATCTGCATCTAATAGTGCTCTGGTACTTTAAAAGGATTATGAAAAAAATACTATTTCTGCCTGAAAGTGTCAGATTTCCTTTAGTTACAAACAGCAGTTAACATCCTTAAAGGGAAAGAAAATGCCAGCCAAGTATTTTCTGTTTGGTTTTGGTTGTTTTTTTTTTTCCTTTATTTGGTTGATAGCAAGTTGCGTTTAACTGTCACTTTCTCCCTGACCTGAAAACACACTCCTAAAACTTTGTCATAAAGGGATATTAAAAAAACCTCAACACAACAAACAAACAGCAACAACAAAACCCAGAACGACTCTGGACATGTTATTTGAAGAAGCATTCATGCAGAAATGAAAATTCATTTAAAACTAGCCTAAAAATTTCCCGGTTAACAGTGCCCCTTTGAAAAACGATATTGGCGTGTTGTGTGTTTTATGGTGGCTTTTCTCTCTCTAGGAGGAAGCAATGGGCGTTTTCTGTGTGGCAAACAAACCACCTTTGAAGGTGGCATGAGAGAGCCAGCTATTGCTTGGTGGCCCGGACACATACCTGCAGGAGGGGTGAGTATCTGCTTGGAACCGTTCTGGTCGCTCTTTAAGTGGACTGAAGGGGGTGGAGTGGTTCTTGCTGGATTCAGTGGGGTTTGGATCAGACTTTTAACGTGCCCAACGTGTCTGCCCAGATGCTTGTCTAAATCAGGAGCTGAAGGCTGCCCCTAGAGAACGATGCTGCTCCTGTTATTGCAAATTTGCATCTAGAGTGTCTATGATCAACACTTCTGTGAGCACCAAGCTGTCTTTCTGCTCTATTTAAACCCTTCGTTCTTTTGGACCACAGTATTTTTAGTGGGTTATGTGTCTGAACAAATTGGGGTGTAAAGACACGCTGCTGATGCGTGTCCCAGTGTAGAGCAGGAGTGTGTTGCCCACACACCCTCTCTGTGCCCTGAAGGATCAAGTGATTTGACCCTCGGGGCTCTTGTTTTGGTGTTTGATAAAAGTTCCACTCGGGGAGGTCTAGATACCAGAGTATTGCTCTTTTCTGCCTGTACACAAATTCAGATATGATCACTTCAAAATAATCCTCCAGTGGCACTACCAGCCTCTCTTGTCCCAGTTCTCATTAAAGAAGGATGTAATCAATTCTTCTGCAGGCAAGGTTCACAGTAAATAATACAGATTCCCTCCCCTTTGTAAGCATCTCTTATCCCTGAAGAAAGTGATACTTCATTAACTGGGCACTGTGCTTAAGACTGCAAACTATTCATAAATAAAACATTTTTCTAAGTTGCATTCCTTTTTGGTGGTTTAATTGAGTCAGGATAATGATAATTTATCATTTGCATTGAGGAGGAAGCCATCAGATAGCTTAGATCTGCAGCTGAGGGCAGGAGGGTAGTTTGGTTTCATAATTTTTAAAGAGTTCAAAAAACCGACTAGGGATGTTTTATTATTTTTTTAATTTGAAATGAAAACAGTCTTTTTGTTTAAATTTAAACATTTCCATAAAGCCTTTACAAGCCAAGTACAACAGCCTTGGGCTAGCATACGAGAACATGAAACTGAAGCTGACTGTTTTGTTTTCCATGTCCAAACTAAATAATGTGCTAAAAGTAAACATGCATTATAAATGGGAACAAGTAAATACCAAATTTAAAAATTTTTTCCGTTGTAGTAACTCTTGAGGATAATTAAGAACACGAGTAGAGAGATCATTGTGCCTGCTTGTTTTCTAACTGTGACTGGCTGGTGCCCCCCTCGCAGGTAGCCTTTTTTGCATGTAGTGCAGTGCTGAAGCTTTCCGGGGCGCAAAAATGTTCTCGGTAGCCTGGTGCGGTGCATGGCTTCCTGCTTGAGGCCACGGCTGAAGCTGCTGTTTGCATTCCTGTGAACAGCCATCTCGGTGCAGAGTTACGTGGTTGCCTGGGCGGTTGGCCGCCACCGTAGCGCCGTGAGCCCCTGCATGCTCAGCGAGCTGAGAGTGTGCTTAAGGCTTAGTGGGGCAGGTATGTGCCCGAAAATCCCCTCCTCCACCACTGCTGGTATCACCCTCAGCACTTGAGCACGTGCTTAACTTTAAATCCTCCCTATCCTGGGCTCCACTTACCCATGCTGCCTGCCAGCTCTCTGCCCGTGCGGGTGTTACGCTCCCGGATGCCCTCTTGGACTCCACTTGAGAAGCCTGTTCTGAGCTCTGTCCCCAGGATGTGCTGCTTTGCTCCCAGTCAGTCCCCCGAAGGACACTACTGATAAGTAAATATGTGATAGCTACTTACATGTCTTTTCTGCTTGTATTCTTGCCATCGAGGCTCCAGCGCTGGTACCCACAGCAGCACTGACGGCAGGTGAGAGGTTTGGTGTTGCTTCCGTGTGATACAGCTCAGCCCGTAGCGTGCCTGTAGTTATTGCTTCATAATTGCCTTTCACTGATGCAGTAAGTGAAGAGACACGTTTGCTAGTACCGTTTTAGCTTCTTGACTGCGAGTTTGAACTGGTCAACCTAAGTCCCGTGTAGTCCAGGAATCTGTAAAACGTGGGAAAACTGCTTCAAAGTCTCTCACTGCTCTTTCTTTTCAAAAGAAGAGTTGAAGGAAACAAAAGGCTTGGGAGCCCTGAACCAAGGTGGAAGCAAAAAAACTTCTCAGGGGTTCCAAGCAAAAGCTGAAGGGTCAACTTCTCCTTCCCGTGCTGGGGTTGCTCCCAGTGAAATGGTGGTTCCTTTCCAGCCGTGGGCATTTTGAGGAGCAGGGGAAGGGCCAGCAGCTGTTTCAGGGGGCACAACTGCAGCCAGAAAAATAGGGTTTGTGTGTCTGGCCGGTGAAATCCAGATGTGGGGTGGAAGGTTCATTATGCTGATGGGATCTGGCAGTTTATTATCATCTTATTGACATATAGGATGGAGGGGTTTTATTTCTATTAAAGGGTACTTTTGCTGAAATAAAGGAGTCCCTTTTTTATTTAAACAGAAGCAGATAGGTGACGGGGTTGTGAACACTTGACGGGTACTGACAGAGGTTAGGATAATTCGTGCAGTTGGCTGATTTGCAGTTTTTTGGGGGAGAAGGATGCCTCGGGAGCACGCGTTGCTCTTGGCATCAACATTCAGTTAATTCTGGTCCCCCATCAAGAATATTTATTCACACACCAACAGCATTTCTGCAGTTTCCTCCTCAGCTACGTTTTCCAGGTGAATTCATGACAAATCGGCATTTCAACATTCCCCACATCACAGCTGCCTTCTGGAAGGATCCAGCTGGAAAAAAAAAAAAAAAATCATATTCTGTTGGTATTTGAATCCTCCTCCTCTCTTCCCTCACCCTCCTCCCCTTCCTCTCTCGTGCCTGCTTCCTGAAGGAGAAAAGAACATATCAACCCAAAGACAGCATTGCAACCTTTTCTTCGCTATCTCCCATGGGGCGCAAATTGAAATTGAATTAGACAGGGATATCAGGTCTGCTCACTGTGATAACTGTAAAAGGATTTTATTTAAAAACACCCTGACATTTGTTCACCCAGTTTCAAATATTTAGCTTTCCTCCTTTCCATTCCTGGCGGGGGCGACTTTATTAATTGTCGCCTTTGATTCAGAGTTAAAGCTTGAAAGCACTGATAACAGCAGTGGTGACTATTTCTTCCAGCAACGTGGCCCACAGCAAAAGGATTTCATTTTCTTAAAGACGTTATGTGTATACTGAGAGTTTATTAAAAAGAAGGGGGGGAAGGAGGGGGGAAAAATCCGTTCTTACGTGCGTAATACCGGCTGTTTCTCACTGATACGAGCAATATCTGATCTCACTCTTTTTTTATATATTATTTATTTTCTCTGAGCTGTTGCCCTCTCTGGATTTTTCTTTTTCTTTTCTTTAAAAAAAAAAAAAAAAAAAAAAAAGGAAAGGCAACTGGAATGAAAGAGCACTGTTGACAGGAGAAAATGGTAATTTTTTTATTTTTCTCTGAAAATACTTCAAAGTTTTATAGAAAATATTAACCTTTTTTTTCCCCCCCCTTCTTCAGTGTGGTGCTGCAGAGCACAGATAAATCCAAGTGGCTGTGGCATGGGCATTTAATTTCCTTAAGAAGTTTTCTCTGCTTCATGGAAAAATGTTGTCTGAGACCAGAAACGTAATTGGATGATTAAAGAGAGTCATCTACATCTGGTTATGGTTAATAAGGGCCAGTACAAGAAGACCATGGTGGCCCCACAGGATTGTCACAACGCGATGTATAAATTAGGTGATATTAGGGGCACGAGGCTCAGGTCAGCGATTGCCTCTTGCTGCCTGTTATCAAAAGATTGAGGCGAGGGAATGGAGCGACAACAAGAAAAGTGACTTTTGGATTTGCCTTATAAATTGAGAGAGGTCTAATTACAGAAAGTCTCAGGCACCAGTTTGCCCGCCTGCTCCTGATGTAGCAGTTGTCAGGGAGCAGGCGTGCGCCAGATCTCCTCTTTATTAGATTCCAAGCTCTGCATATGGTGTTCTGCTGACCCTGCAGCTCTCCTAAGGCATGCTTGGGGTAAATTACCCGGCAGATGAGCCTGCGAGGGACTGAGCATCTTTGCTGAGACGCTGAGTGCTTGTAATCCCCTTTGACTTCCGAGGGAGCGCAGCGTTCCCAACGCCGGTGGCTCACGAAGCTCCCCGGCTCTGTGAGGAGTGAGCTGATGGTTTGGTTTTGTGGTTTGAACATCTCAGTCCTTTCTGAGAGCACAGCCGAGAGCAGAGAAGAGCCAAGGGGACAGCCCGAGGAGGGCGCAGCACTGTCCCTCAGCTCATCCCGTGGACGAGCTTTGGTTCTCCTCAGCCATACGTTTGCCCGGTGGCCCTGGGGAGAGCAAGAAGCAGGGTTGCCCCATCAGAGAGCTCAGGTCTGTTTTCCTCATCCCCATCCTCCATGGATCCCCATCCTCCATGCAGAGAGGGAACTTCACGTATACATCTGCTTTTTGTGAGGGATCTGGGGGCTCATCCCTCTGCCTGCAAGGACGGACTGAGCACAACCTCTTTCAGGCTGCCTCGGCAGCGGTGTCCGTGCATAAGGCTTAATCTCAAATGCCCAAGGCCTTCTGCAAGACTTTTTGATCTTGGTCAACTGATCCAACTGCTCTCTTAGGCAAGGGTTTCCATGGTCAGGCTTCCCCTTGTGCTCAGAGCTTTGCACTTTGATTTCTTCTGAAGAGTTGTAGAAATATTCTTGCATGCAGCTTTAATATTATGTGTTCCTGCCAACAACTTCTGATGAATGATAGCCATTAAAATTTGGAATTACTGTAATCAAGTAATGTGATATTGTAATGTTAAACTTATAATCAGTCCCCTGCATGTTGCTTTCTCCCGTTTCTTTTTTTTTTTTCACCGCTAATTCTTCCTTTAACTTCACTTTTTTTCAGCCCAGTCTCTTAATAAAAGGCTTAGTGTCCCAGCAAAAATAACATTTTCCCTTCTTTTTTTTTTTTCTACAACCAGCATCTCACAAAAAATTGATTTATGACGTTATCATTTGTTGTCATATTTAAATAATTAGTGTCAGCTTACAGGCTGGGGGTCTGTTTGTGAGTAGAAAGAGGATTCGGAGATAAAAAGTCTTTGATAGTCCCGGCATCGTAATGTTCACACTGACATTCGCAAGGCTGCTGCTGGGGCTTGGATTTGAGTCAGAAAATGCTTCTGTACTTACAGATGTGGGCTTGTATCAGGCGGCTTCTTGTTTCCGCACAAGTGGTACGGCTGAGAAAGGCTCTTTTCATCTCACATCTTGTGCTGGTGCATCCTGGTGCAAAACAGTCTTGCTCTTGATTTGGATGTAGCTGCTTCAATTTAATGTGTCACTGGTTAATTAAACATCCTACACCAGATAACTCTGGTGTATCACAAGCAGGCTGGGAGCAAAGATTCAGAAAGAATCAGTCAGAACAGACTTTTTAGGTTTTTAAAATATAAATAATTAAGACCAGAGAGATAAGTATGGCTTCCAATTAAGGAAGGAAAAAAAAAAAGAGGCAAGGGGGGGAAAAAAAAAAAGCCTGTACATCTCCACTGGAGCCAAACCCAGATGTTTTTCTCCCTTATTAAAATTTATACTAAAAATACCACAACTTTACAGTTCTTGAATTGTTGGAAATGGTTTGCAGATGAAGTCATCAGGCTCTTTTTGTTATTATCCATCTATCCCTGTGCTTTCTGGGAACTCTCTCAGGGTATTCTGGACTCCAGAGATGACCTGGAGAGGGAACAAATCAAGGACTTTCTTTTTCTTGGTTTAAGTGCTGATTTTTCAATTCACAGATGACTTGGAATTTGCTAAATTAAGTTGAACTCTGCAAAAACATGCTCCTGTAAAGTGGATACATAGAGAGAAGTGAGAAGAAAGAGAGGCAAATGAAAAAATGAATCAAAATGCAAATGCTCCCTAGAAGTGGAGAAATACGGATCATCTCCTTTCCTTTATTATTTTAATAGAGGTTTGCTGGTGATCCCAGCACTGTAAAGGGAGATACTCTCAAAAGATGCTTAGCAGGGAAGGAAGTTCAGGAAGAAATACTTCTGCTTTGGTGGAAACCAGCCTGTTTCATTTTGGCTTTTACTGAAGGTTTTTCCGCAAGTGCGTTTCTGTTGCTTTTTCAGATCAGTCATCAGCTGGGCAACGTGATGGATCTCTTCACCACCAGCCTCTCCCTGGCGGGACTGGAGCCTCCCAGTGACAGACAGATTGATGGCATCGACCTTTTACCTGCCATCTTGCAGGGCAAGCTAATTGACAGGTTAGTTATGAGCCCGGAGCTCTGACCCTTGCCTCCAGACTGAAGGGATGCCAAATCCTGGTTTATTTTTTAAATCAGATTTACAGAAATATTTTATAAACTGAACCGATGCATCTGTGCTCCGGCTCAGTGAGGTGGGGTAGCTTTTTTGCTCTGGATTAATTCTCTGGTGAAGCAAGCAGAGGTGGGGTTTCCTGACATGTGGCATGTTGCCAGACAGCGGAGTCTGGGGACAGACGCAAATGTCAGGGGGTTAGCAGGGATCCCTGGAACAACATATGGCAATAGGGGAGATAAAAGCTTGAGGACTGTAGCCTGGGTAGGGGAGAATACATAATTTATTACTGGAAAAACATCCAAGAGTATGCTGGGTCTTCAGAGCCCCTGCTTGAGAGAGGTTGAAGGTAAAGGCTGCGCTGCTGCGGCTCATCTGGGAGCCCACCTCCTCCCAAGGTCCTGTTTGTGAGGATGCTTTTGCAGGGACACATTTGGGTTAAAGTCCTGGGATCTTTATGGGCACGGAGGAGTGTGCTGTCAGCTGTGGGGTGCAGGCACAAAGACCTGCCAGCAAATACCCTTGGCGCTCCCGTCAGAAGGGTCGGAGGTCAGGAGAGGTCTTGGAGTTGTGATTTTGATGAGGAATTTGGCAGCCTGGGAAATCAGAATACAAACATTATTAGTCTGTGAGACATCAGGGAAACGCGTGAACAAAACCACATTTGAGTTCTTTTCTGCGTTGGATGTGAGCCTTTGTTCTGTACAGTTGTTCCTCTTAAGCAAGAAGCGTGCCTCCAGTGTTACCTGAGAGCTCAGGCAGTGGCTGACCCCAGGTGTTGCAGGTTCCTCACACACGGCTTATCCCGTCTTCTGCAAGTTTGTAAAGCTTCTTTGTTGTTTTAAAAGAGAATTTCACTGCGGTCAGCAAGCCCTTGGAACTGGTGCTGTTTGTGTTACAACAGCAGTCACTGAAGGCACACTCAGGACTTTTTATTTTCTTTTTTCTTCTTTCTCTTCTTCTTTATTCTTTCTCTTCTTTCTTTTTTCTTCTTTTCTCTTCTTTCTCTTTTCTCTTCTTTCTCTTTTCTCTTCTTTCTCTTTTCTCTTCTTTCTCTTTTCTCTTCTTTCTCTTTTCTCTTCTTTCTCTTTTCTC